TGGCTAGATGTTTTTCTTTTTTATTAGAATTTCTATGATTTATTAAAACGCCACGTGGTGATCTAGGAGCATTTGTAGGAATGCCACGTAGCGGTTTAGGAGCGTTTGTAGAAAGTTTAATGGGTTTTTAGTATATAATAGAAGATTTGTATAAGACAGCGTACTAGCTATACATGTACAAGGGAGAAGTGAGGATAACAAAGATAAGTATGGCGCAATTCTGATTTTCCATAATTCCATTAACTTTTGGAATTGCGCGAAGTTAGTTCCCCCCCCCCCCCTTTTTTTCACGTTTTCATTTATAAAGTAACAGTGTTCGATCCTTCCATTTCCTGTTAAGAACTCAATGTACATGCCAAACTACAAATATGTATGTATTCTATTAAAGCACTTTTACTGGAAAAAAAAACTCTAACGTAACAATCACCTAGGCTAAATGTTACTTCCTCCGTTTCACAATGTAAGTCATTCTAGCATTTCCCACATTTATATTGATGCATCTAGATTCATTAACATCAATATGAATGTGGGAAATGCTAGAATGTCTAGATTCATTAACATCAATATGAATGTGGGAAATGCTAGAATGACTTACATTGTGAAACGGAGGGAGTATATATGTAAGTCGTGACTTATGTAACACGCTCTTAAAATTGGACAAATTATATATATGCTTATAATCAAAATACTACTTCACCCATCTAAAAGAATATTGTTAGAATACAAATTTAGTTTAACATAGTGCCGAGCCAATATGGTATATCTTTATCATCAGAATTTGTTTCCACGCAATTCTCAATAAAGCACCAATGCACCATTGATCAAACACCTTTATATCTACAGCATCATCTCGCCACGTTCTTCCAAAATATTGGTTGAACAAATGTCCAAATACACCTCATGACTCATTGTTTCTAGCTTACTTGACCTCCACCAGGTAGTTTTGCAAAAATCAAATCCTTTTTGGCGTGTAATATTGCTATTACCTATAAATAATCCCCTAGAGCAATTGTTATCTCATCACCCTCAACATATAATCTTCTACATTTACACCATCTAGTAATCTTGTTAAGCATCTCCCATACGCTGTCAACAATGGCATCATACAAGATCTTGGTTGTCTTTGCTTTGCTAGCTCTTTCTGCAAGTGCAGCTACCGCAATCACCACCACTATACCATACTTCCCATCAACACTAGCAATGGGCACCATGAATCCCTGTAAGCTGTACATGATGCAAACTTTGGGCATGGGTAGCTACGCAACCATGTTCATGTCACAACCAATTGCTCTCCTGCAACAACAATGTTGCATGCAACTACAAGGCATGATACCACAGTGCCATTGTGGTGCTAGTTGTCAAATGATGCAGAACATGCAAAATGCTATTTGTGGTGGACTCGGGCAACAACAAATGATGATGAAGATGGTGATGCAACTGCCATATGTGTGCAACATGGCACCCGCCAACTTTCAACTCTTTCCTTATGGTTGTTGTTGATCGAATTTCAATTACTTGTATAGTCAAATAACAAGTGTATGATGCATACTATCGTGTGCATCTCACACTGGTGGAGAAACCGTTTGTAGTCCCGGTTGATAACCCCCCTTTAGTCCCGGTTTTCCAACCGGGACTACGAATCCGGGACTAAAGATCGCTATCTTTAGTCCCGGTTCAAATAATAGTCCCGGTTGGTAACACCAACCGGGAGTAAAGAGAGGGAATCTACCAACCGGGACTAAAGAGGGGAAGCGACAGTTCCTCGAGATTTTTTTTATTATTATTTTGTTGTTGATTTGCTAATGGCTAGTGTTAATCTATGTATTTTCTCCCGAATCGAATGAGATGCACATCCCAAATCAACATCACAAATCAAATACATCACAAATCCTAAAAACTACACACAAATTAAATACATCACAGATTATACAAATTATATATCTTAGATCCATGCGATGCAATGAATCACAAAATTATACATCCAGTGAAACACAACTTACAAAAAAAAAAAGAAACCGGGCCAGCGCCCGGCCGCCGCCTGCGCACAGCCGCCTGCCCGCCGGCCGCCTGCCCGCACGCGGCCGCGCCGCCGCCCGCCGGCCGCCTCCACGCGCGCGGCCGCGCCGCCGCCCGCTGCCGCCTCCCCCTTCGCGGCCACGCCGCCGCCGCCCGCCGCCGGCCGGCTGATGGAAGACGGAGTAGAGGGGAGGAGGAGGAAGGAGAGGGGAGGAGGAGGAAGGAGAGGGGGGGAGGGGAGGAGGAAGAGGATTGGATCTGAGAAGAGCAAGAGAGGGGATGTTCCAATCTTATCTAAATATCTGTCTGGGACTTAACCGATCGGATGTAGGAGATAAATATTTACTCCCGGTTGATAACTTCAACCGGGACTAAAGATTGATAATACCAACCGGGAGTAAAGATCACTCGATCTTTAGTCCCGGTTGGTGATACCAACCGAGACTAAAGTGATAATTTTTAGTCCCGGTTGGTAGTATCAACCGGGACTAAAGATCCTCGACCCCCTGACATACATCTGACAGGGGATGAACCGGGACTACAAATCATCTTTAGTCTCGGTTGGAGATCAAAATTTTTTAAACCGGGACTAAAAATTGTTTTTAGTCCTGGTTTTTAATGGAATTGGGACTATTGTGAAATTTGGTCGACCGACCAAAGATGGTTTCTCCACCAGTATCATTAGAATAAGAATCATTAAATAAAGTATCGATGAGCTATTTTCAGCCATTCAATATTTGCACTTGTTCTTTTTGTCCTTCTCGAAAATCATGTCGCATCTTATATAAATGCTCAAATTATTTAAGTTATGACCACTTAAATATCATGATGAACTTGATGCTAGTGAAACACACAATACTAGCTAATAAATAGTAGCTTAATTAGTGCAACAATTTATCCCATCTACAGTGACGAGTCTATAACAAAATTACCGGTGTCCCATATACATAATATTACATGTATAATAAGCATAAATTGGTGTTTAGAGGTAATATGTAATGGTGAACAAGCTTAGCAACTTGGGTCATGCTTATCAGAGAAGGCCAACGTGGTTTTGCCCCTGCTCATCTAGTTATCATGTTAATTTAGTCAAAACTCACTCGTCCTTGAACCTTATCTACTCAAGCAATCACAATACACAAGGACCATGTGAAATAATTCTTTGAAACATTAACCCCACCTTTATATATAAGAATCTAGAGGTCTAGAACACGTTGAACTCATGCAATTTTGTGAGCTGTCGTATCACTTCCATAATGAGATTGTAATTGAACAAAACATGTTTATCCTATCTAAGATGAAATGTTTGCAATCTAGACATCATTTTTGGTGTCTCCATTACTAATCACATCAAGAGTGACAGGCATTCTAAATTTCACCACCCCACCATTCCAATTTGACATGTGATGATCCAAAAGAAGAATTGGTCATCCCTACACGACTTTACTTACTAGTTAAAAATATAGTTATATTTTCAGTTTAAAGACTCCATATTTCCTGTAGTGTCTGGAATAATTAAATAAAATTTAATTTCATAATTTGAATAAACAAATACTTTGAGTTTCTCAAATTTCTTTTCTGTTTTTAAAAATAAAGGAATAAACATACACAAGTAATGAGTAAAGATAAAAACAAGTAGTCACAGAAGTAGCTTATCCCTTTTCCCTTCAAAAAACCTCACTCACTCATGTTTCTTTAGCAACACTCCAAATACATGGTAGCAAAATTCCAAACATATATGGTAGCTACATATGTCTGTATACTATTATTAAAGCCTATTTACAAAGCTTTGAAAAGGTACTTTATATGTGAATTGTTGATTAACATGTTTGTAAGACACAAACAAATTCTGTTGAAAAAAGTTTCTTGATCCACCTCGATAAATAACTATACTACAAATTAAGTTTTATGAAGTGCCAAACTTTTATGGTATAGCCTTATCATCATAACTTCTTTCCACGTATTTCTTAAAGCATTGGCAAAAGATAGCCTTTTGAATATATCTACAACGTCATCTTAGTATCTACCATGTATTCTTCCAAAATATTAGTTGAACAATTGTCCAAATAAATGTCATGCCTCATGATTTATAGCTTATCTAGCCTCCATTAGGTAGTTTTTGCAAAGGCCAAAATATTACTTACCTCGCACGACTTTTAGTATGTATAAATAGTGTTCCTCAGCAACCACGATACCATCACCCTCAACAATATCATAGTAGCACTGTAGTGCCAACAATGGCAGCATACAAGATCTTGGCCCTCTTTGCGTTACTTGCTCTTTCTGCAAGCGCCGCTACTACAATCACCACCATGCCATATCTCCAACCAACAATAGCAATGGGCAATATGGATCCGTGTAGGCAGTACATGATGCAAACGACGGGCACAGATAGCTACGCAACAATGTTCATGCCACAACCAATTGCTCTCCTGCAACAATAGTGTTGCATGCAGCTACAAGGCATGATGCCACAGTGCCAGTGTGGGTATGGTACTAGTTGCCAGATGATACAGAACATGCAATATGCTATTTGTGGTGGACTTGGCCAACAACAAATGATGATGAAGATGGCGATGCAACTTCCAAACATGTGTAGCATGGCCCCTGCCTACTTCCAGCTCTCTCCCTATGGTTGTTGTTAACCAAACCTTGGTTACATGTACTCCAACAGTAAATTGTTGCATACTATCGTGTGCGACTGGCTAGAATAAGAATCATGAAATAAAGTTTCGATTTATGTTCAATATTTACACTTGTATTCCCACGTGGGAGTGTGACCCATCACTGGATCAAACAACGTTGCTGCCTAAGCCTAACCGACTAACAGTGGCCTGTTAGTTGGGCCGGGATGGTGTACTGTCACCGACTTGCGGGATGTTGTTTTATGGGCCATCATCCTCCCGCTCCAAGCCCATGAGTGATTATGCGAAGCCCATTAACTGATCCACGTGGCCCGAGATACTTTTACTTAGCCTCGATGGGGTGCGACTCGATCACTCAAGCAGTCCAGCCCAAGTCGTCGCGCACCTCGGGCGATCCGACCTCGCCGTTGCTTGCTCAGACGCCGGAGACGACGACGACGGCGGCGGCGGCGGCGGGGACGAGATGACGGTGTTCCACTTCCTCAACTGCGCCGCCCTCACCTTCGGCCCCCACGTCGTCTACTACTCGGCCACCCCGCTGTATACTCCCTCTCCCCCCCCCCCCTCCATCTCCCCTTGCGCCGCGAGATCCGTATCACGAACGTGCTAGATCTGCTTGTAGTGAACGGTCTGGACAGAGATTCGTCGCGTCGTCAGCGGAAGGAGGTGCTTGAATCCCTGATGCTGCCGGTTCTCTGTGTGTTTTTGGCTTGTGAGATGGGGTTTAGTCAGTGCAATTTCAGTGGATTTTGCTCAACTCGGTTGGATTGGCACGAGATTGGTTCCGCGTGTGACCGTTTGTTGGAGAACATGAAATCGCGTTGCTCGTTCTGGTTTGGATGCTCTGTTTTCTGAACTAGGTTGCTCGAATTGAATCTGATTGGTTTATGTCTACCTCCGAGTATCAAGTAAGTTCAGATGAGCGGTTAGCTCGTTTTCAGAGCTAGACGGGATCACGATCTGGGAATACAATTTTTATGAGGCAAATGCAGCAAATATAAAGTGATCTAACTAATGCCACTTGATATTATGATGAACATGTTGTTGTGAAACTGGAAAATGCATGCCAAATTGCCAACCATATACATCTCATTAGTAGAGTAACTTCGTGACAGTGAAAGAAAACTTCATTCTAGCTGAGGGGAGATCACATTGAAGGTATTCGTGATATAATATGTTAGCAAGATAAGTAGCTAGGATGGTTTATTCATAGCACATTGGTACCTGGCAGCATGTCAGATAGATATTTTCTATTTCAGCAATATATTGATCTTACCTTGTGCAACAGTTTTCTCCATCCAAGTTCAGTGAAAATCATTTGTCCTTGAACTTATCTACTCAAGCGATGAACAATACTCATACACATGAGCATATGAATCAGTTCTATCTTCTATGAAGCCTTAACCCTAGATTTATCACAATCTAGTCATCTAGACCGGCAGACCACATTGAACTCAATTGCAATTTGTGAGTTGTTGTATGGCTTCGGAATGGGGTCGAATCTTTCTTCAATCCAGGATGGAAATTTTGAGATCTATACATCACGTTTGGTACATCTCTACTACTCTAGTACTAAAAACATGAAGATTCTGAACATGGACATTGCATAGTTCTCCATCCCAATTCACCCTGCAGTGATCGCTGCACTGGATAATTATAATATCAGTTAAAATTGAAAATAATGCAACTTCATACTTGCATGGTGTCAGTAGTGCCTGCCTAAGAAATGTGTCTTGTCATAATATGATTACATGAAATATGTTTACTTCCTCGTTTCTCTTTATTTGTAAGATAAAGAACTAGATATGTGGAAAGTAGGATAGCAAAGAGTATGGCCAAACTCTAATCTTTGCTTTATTTTTTGGGATGGACCCAAAATTTGTTTCTCCTTTACTTCTTTCCCTTTACAACAATGTTCTTTACTTCCAATTCTTATTAACAAAACTCCAAATACATGCCAAACTGCATATGTATGTATGCTATTAAGGCACATTTACAAAGCTCCAAGTTTACCTACTCAATCATTCACATATGGCGATGACTCAAACTCTTAATTGTTATCTGTGTAAGCTGTGACTTGTGTAACACATTCTACAAGTCCCATACGAATTCTGTTCACAAAAGTTTCTTTGTCCAGCTCATAATTTACAAAACTGCAAAATGCCAAAGCAATCTGGCACAACCTTATCATCATATTTTCTTTCCACGCATTAAAGCACTGGCAGAATTATCTTTGTGTAGATATTCCAAAAGTATTGGTTGAATAAATGTCCAAATAAATTCCATGCCTCATGATTTCCAGCTTATGTGGCCTCCACTAGGTGGTTTTGCAAAGGCCAAACTCTTTCCTGGCTTACACAGCTACCAGCATGTATAAATAGGCCCCTAGGCAACCATTATTCCATCATCCTCAACAATATTGTCTACACCATCTGGAATCTTGTTTAACACTAGTATTGTAGAATCAGCAATGGCAGCATACACCAGCAAGATCTTTGCCCTGTTTGCCTTAATTGCTCTTTCTGCAAGTGCCACTACTGCAATCACCACTATGCAGTATTTCCCACCAACATTAGCCATGGGCACCATGGATCCGTGTAGGCAGTACATGATGCAAACGTTGGGCATGGGTAGCTCCACAGCCATGTTCATGTCGCAGCCAATGGCGCTCCTGCAGCAGCAATGTTGCATGCAGCTACAAGGCATGATGCCTCAGTGCCACTGTGGCACCAGTTGCCAGATGATGCAGAGCATGCAACAAGTTATTTGTGCTGGACTCGGGCAGCAGCAGATGATGAAGATGGCGATGCAGATGCCATACATGTGCAACATGGCCCCTGTCAACTTCCAACTCTCTTCCTGTGGTTGTTGTTGATCAAACGTTGGTTACATGTACTCTAGTAATAAGGTGTTGCATACTATCGTGTGCAAACACTAGAAATAAGAACCATTGAATAAAATATCAATCATTTTCAGACTTGCAAATATTGGGTATTTGGATTTCTGTCCCATGTCCCTCTTGAAAGCCATGCTGTACATGTTGGAGTTCCCCCTTGGACCCAACCTACTCCATGCTCCCATGTTGATCTTAAATTCCCTGTTCCCCCAGAGCATGTAAATTTTCTTATGCTAATCAGAGCAAGCTCGATGTCTCATTAACATATCCCTATTTGATCAATGTTGTGGTTGTTTCAAAATGTATTGGTGATAAGTGGTAACAGTGTACTTCTGGCATAATGGATAATAAGTGGCGGAGGTTTGTGAAGATAAGAGTTGGAAACAGAGCTGCTGTGTATGTTCTAATGACAGAGAGTTTTTGGATGGTCACATAGATCTTGGCCTTTTACTTTTGATGGAGGGTTGCAGACGATCATTGATGAATGGAGGGCTTTGTTTTTAAGAATCTTATTAGTGGGTAGTGGTTACTAGTTAGATGTCTATCAATCTATAGATAAAAATAATGTTGTATATCAAAGGATTTTTGTTCTTCGCTTTCTTATGCCCAGTCATTTTCTGCAGGTCAGAGTATGACACAATTGGCACTTGTGTAAAAGCGGCTGTTGTTTATCTTGGAACAGCACTAGTAAAGGTCAGTAGCTAGAAATATGTCCTTGCTGTAATATAAATTGATAACATTTGGTAAGTGCCAAGCTTGCTAGGCTCAAATGATGTGTTCCTAGTTGTTTGATCATGTGCGCTTGTGATCTACTTTTCTTGATTCAGAAAGTTTCACATGTTTGGCATAGCCATTAGATACCATTTTCTTATGTGGAATAGTGGTATATTTCTGTAACATACCAGTTTTAAGGGTCATGGAACACTTATTGCATATATGTTCATCTTTGATTGTTGTTGTGATATTCCTTAATTAGTTAAACAAAGGTATCAATTGCATATATATCATTTTGCATGGTATGGACCAGTTATCTTCCCATCTATGCAGTTTTTATTATATGGATTTAATTTTAAACTCATCCAAGTTTGTCATCCTGATTCTTTTCGACTTTGCATTTTTTTTAAAATGTTCTTGTAATTTTACCTACTTTCTGTTTTAATTGTTTCACATGCTTCTTAAATATATGTTCTTATCACTGTTATTTCTTCATTCAAATAAAGGAGATTATACTAACCTTGACAAATTTAACTGACAGCTTGTTTGCTTAGCGACATTGCTCAAAGTACCTGAGAATGATAGCTTTGATCCTTATCAGGTGCATTTTCTGTTTTCTTTAGCAAAACCTAATTGTGTTTAACATGTTGGCGTTTATCTAATTTGCATGTTATCTCCCTTTGCAGGAATTGATGAAAATCTTTATTGGGTTTATAGATGTTGCTGGTCTTTATTTTGCTTTGACACAGTTGACTCATAGAAACATCTCCCAGAATCACAAGTTTCAGGCAGTTGGTCTTGGTGAGTGTTCCCTCCATTATAAACAATAATTCGTATTTTTAGTGGCCACAAGGATTAAAGGCATGAAAGTGAGGAACCAAGAGAGAGAGGAGAAAAGTATCCCTGCTATACAGGAGAGATACACAGTGATAGGATCAATAAATTTGCATGTGTTCTTATATTTCACAAGAAATTTGAGGAAACTATATGTATTATAAAAACAAACAGGGTAAGGACATTTTGTTATCACTTTATGATCTAATGCCTTTAACTGAAGTTAAACCTGCCAAGTTATCGTGCTGATCCATGGTGACATCTTTCCTTATCTGATTTTTAATCTCTGTTCTAGTGTTAAGATTCATCTGCCTTACTTCACATTCGAATTACTTACAATTTACTGTGCACTTCTTTTTGTAGACAAGAGGAATTCCTCATGTCATTCTTATGTATGCATTGTCTTGTTACTATATTGTCCCAATTTTTTAGTTGCATGGAGTTTGTTATCCATGCTCGTGGTTTCGGACTGTTACAATTGAATGGACATTCACAGAGTTTTTATTGTCCTGTCCACTATCTGACTATCACTGATACAGTGGATATTTTTGAGGGTTTCAGGTTGGGCTTTTGCTGACTCAGTTCTGCACCGTCTGGCGCCTCTCTGGATTGGTGCAAGAGGACTTGAATTTACGTGGGAGTACATTTTTCAAGGACTTGAAGCAAATGCCAATCTTGTATGTTTTATCAATATAATGTTAAATTGTGAACATTACAATATGCCATATTCCTAGTTTACAAAGAGAGCAACTTCCTGATGATTTGGCTTCCGGTGATTACTAGGGATAGTGGTTGACAAAATATTTTCCTTGTATGTATTTCACTTATACCTTATTATCCCAGAAGGCTTACTTTTATGTTTCTGCAGGTTATGACGCTGTCCCTTGCTGCTTTAGGATCCTTGATGTGGCTGAGGAAAAACAAACCTAGGACTTTGGTGCCAATAATTTATGCATGTGCTTTGCTTCTGGCAACAATGCCATCTATCACCAGGTTACTCCTTTTTTATCAGCTCGATCATGTGTTTATGTTCTTCTAGAAAAATGTCCTGAAACACAACGTTTGACTACATTGAAACACAACGTTCCATACTTCCATGGTTCCTCCAGCATATGTGTGTCAATCTAGAGATTTTCGATTAATGCCCCTTCTAACCTTAACATCTAATCAGCAAGAACTAGATATCCAGCTTATAATATTTCTGACAGATCATTTTTTCAGTTCCAGTTTTGGGTAACCCTCATTCTTCATCATTTCTTAATTTGGCAATCTGAAACCTCCTTTTATCTTGCATACAATTATTGCCTCCAAGTTTCTATTCTGTTCTAAATCTAATGCCAGTTTAGTACTCTTGTATGGAATATTTTGGTCTACTCGTCTCCTCTTTTACTCTTTGTGAATGTGGACGCTTGAGTAAGCCCAAAGGAGAACTTCGATAAAGCATGCAAACTAAGTTAATGTTTTCTGGCAGATGGCTATACCAATGGTGATTGAGTAGTATGTCTCTAGTTTGTGATATTTATTTATTGCTTACGAAGGCTAAGCTAGGACTGATTCGTCTGGACTTATGTTTCTTAGATATGTGCTATAACCAGAGTATTTTGTTTGTTCATTACTATGTTTCATTCGTTTAGTTGTTTAGGTTCTGTCCTTGCAGGGGTCATGTTTCTCCAAATTCATTAATTTTGTTTTCTTCTTCACTGTGCTAAACATGCAGTTACTTGAGGAGATCATTAGAGTGGCAGACTCCAAAGGTGGTTGGCTTCGAGCTGTTCTCCTCACTGGTCATGGCTTTCATCAGCTGGCAGCTGTTCTCAGCTTGTCAGAGACCAATGTAAGGAATGAGTTTGCAAATTGCCGGAGATTCACGCTCCTGAGATGGCTCCTGTTGTACTTCCACAGAATTAGGATGCGCCTTTTCAGCCTTGACACTATCTTTTCTGGGGGTTCGATCATAGAACTTATTATTTAGAATCCTTTTTCTGTAAGTTTTAGTGGAGAAACACATGCTCCAGTGAGTTGCCATTGTTAACAGCTCTTATAGGCATTGAACTAAAAGTATATTTTGCCCCTGCTGTGCTTCTTCTGTCAACCGCATGGCATCATCTAAAATGAAAGCCTATAACATTCAGTTTTGTCATCAGTTTATGGGAAAGTGAGTACACTAAACATGATTCAGTGCTGATGAATGATGGTGATGATGTGATCATTCTGGTTTTTTGAATGTTTCAAAACCGAAGTAAACTCTGGAAGAAGAATTGGACAGACCGTAGCAAGTCCGCAATGTGTACAGCTGAAAAACCAATTGCATTTGCAGGTTCTGCCTCCAAAACGTGTTTCGTTCCAAGGGTATTCACCAATCGTCATGGGTACAAAACGAAAGCAAATTTTAATCGAAACATACATCACAGTTATATATCACGGCTTATCGGGGCCAACCAGCCATGGCTGGCTGGGCCCTGCCTGCTATGGCTCGATCGGGGTCCACTACTCCGACTCCTCGACGGCCGCCTCCACCCGGAGCAGCACGAAGCCGACGGCGACGCCGACGAGCACGAGCCCGTTCATGATGACGGCGATCCTGAATATCTCACCGGCGGCGTTGCACTGCGCCCCGAACGCGCCGCCGCGGCTCTTCCCGCCGGCGGGGCTCAGCTTGGCCACCACCTTGGCGAACGAGTAGTCGGCGGTCTTGCGCACGCCGAGCAGGGTCACCTTGTTGAGCGCCTTGAGCCCGCTGTACGCGTTCATCCCCTCCACGTACGTCACGCCGCTCCTCTTCCTCGCCGCCGGTGCGGCGCCGGCCAGCGACGGCAGCGTTGTGGCCATGGACAGCGACGCCATTGCTGCAAGAAAACCAACGATGAGATCAAGCAATGTTGCAGCTCAGAACGACAGAAATCCATCTCCATGAGGGTGGTTTGCCTACCTCGTGGTGGTTCTTGGCGATGGAGGAGGAAGAGGAGTGTGGCCGGCAATGGCGCAGGGGGGGTTGGAGTGGGTCAGGTTGGGAGCGGGAGGGAGGGAGTGGGTTTTGTACGGGAGATGAGGGTAGGATAAGGCGCCGGCGGAATGGATGGTGGCAAGGGAGGAGTTTATCCTTTGCCTGTGAAAAGGTGAAGGCGCAATTGGTGCCAGAGGGATCCTGATTGGCCCGAGATGGTCCACATGTCGACGTGCGTTTTCCTCTCCCCGTTTCTCTTTTCCGGGCCCTGTTCGTGGAGTGCACACGCTGGCAGGTTCCTGGCTCTACTAGCTCCAGTTCAAGGTCTGGACCGTCGAAAATCATATTAGTACATGTGTACTATGTACATAGTACCATGTAGTACTAACTACACGCTGCAGGGTAACATTGCACTATCAGTAATGTCGGACCTATGTTTACTACGCGTGAAAATGATACAAAAATTCCTCATATGATTATAACACGTGGGTTTAGTAGTAGCAAATCGGTAAAAAGCATCACATCAGAAGTGGTAAATAATTTTATATAGGACGTAGTGCCAAACTGCAAATGTCCCAACTCCCAATTGCAAGTGCGGAAGAGCCACCAACCCCCCGAGACGGCTAATACACGACTAGTCGCGCTCACCCTCCTGCGTGCGACTGTACACGTGTCGCGCGCGGGGAGGAGGCGGTGACAGCGCGTGTACCGTCCGTTTTCTTTGGGCGTACGATTTCTTTTTTTTTTCTATTTTTTTCTCTTCCGTACCTTTTCCGGTGTTCTTTTTTTTTCTTCTCGTATATTTTTCTGTTTTTCCTTTTTAATACGTATGTACGCAAACTTTGTATACATACAAATACAAACTTGTATACACGTATATAAATTTAGTATACACGTATACAAACTTTGTATACATACAAATACAAACTTTATATACACGTATGCAAACTTTTGCATACGTGTATACAAAGTTTGTATACGTGTATTTTTTGGTTTTTATACATATGTATACCAACTTTGTATACACGTATACAAAGTTTGTATACACGTATACAAAGTTTGTATACACGTATTTTTTAGATTTTTTATATGTATACACACAAACTTTATATACATGTGTATCTTTTATACATTAAAAGTGTATACATATAAAATTATGTATATGTACACACATATGACACGTATGCATATACCATATATATACATACGTATAAACTTCGTATATACGCATACAAAGTTTATACGTGTATATATATATATATATATTGTATATACATACGTGTGTGTATATATAGTACGTATAGTATAGTAGTACTCTATAGGATAAGAGATCAGACTAGAGGGGAGCAGCTGATCGCGCACGCGAACAAGCCCAAGCGGAACCCCGCGAGTCCGCAACACAAAAATTGGGCTGCAACCTCTCACAACCCCACCGTACTATTGGCTATTGCACAGGGCCAGAAAAGCCTCGAAAACGGCGGGAGCGGGCAGCCCATATGCCCATGATCCCATCTCCCCTCGCATGAGCGCGCGTGCCACACACACATCGCGACTTGGCGAGGCGGTAACTTCCCCTGCTGCTGCGCGGTGCGCACACGCTGGAGCAACCAACCAACCAACCAAACCGACCGCCCACTGATGACTGAATAGCCGATAGGCAAAACCGTAGTAGGAGGACCATGAGACGACGCCGTATGTACTGCGGGCATGTGCACCGTATGATTACGGAAAGCAACCCCCACAGGTGGACAGCCTGACGACAGGGCCGGCAGCCCGGCACAGCTAGCTCTTGTCGCGGCGACAGCCTCATATCCAGGCTTCCAAAGCTCTCCGCCTCTCGACTCGTCATGCCATTCATACATGTTGCTCCGTTTGTGAATATTATTACCGTAGGTGACAAGTTGCAGACTTGCAGTGTAGTACTAGTAATGGAGAGAGTGGACCTGATGATGAAGATGCAATGGATTTTTTTCCCCTGGCGTATGGGATTACTGGTTCAGTGAAAATGATGGTTTCAGTGCATGCACTGCCAACAGCATCTCTCCTGTGGATAAGTTTTGGAAACTTTAGGGCAAGTACTGTAATAACCCATATGTTGCCTCTAAGAATGCCACATTGGATTGAATGATGATGTGGAGGAGAGAAGTGAGGAGAGAGATGATGAGCCACCCCTAAATCAAGAGGTAACCTCCACACAAATTTCAAGAAGGATGTGAGAGTATTAGATATAACCCATGTGTTGCCTCTAAGAATGCCACATTGGATTGAGTGATGATGTGGAGGAGAGAAGTGAGGAGAGAGATGATGAGCCACCCCTAAATCAAGAGGCAACCTCCACACAAATTTCAAGAAGGATGTGAGAGTATTAGATACATTGTATGAGTTGCCTCTTAGTTCATAATTAAATAAAATAGATAAATTTAGAGGTGATAGTCACATCTACCATAGCACTTGCCCTTACAGAATAATCTCACTGGAACTTTGTAAAAACTACACAAAAACACTCATTTCCCACAAGTATTGCAGGGTTTCCTCGTACTGGTTTGCTGGGGGTAACCACTACCGGTATATTGCCGTTACCCTGCAGTTACCGATAAAAAAGAGAGGCTTTTACTGCAATAACCGTTCGATATTGCAAACCCATAATTGCTCCGTTCCATAAAAATCAATTTAGAATAGGATATGATATTATGTCCAGATTTATTATACTAGAAAGATCACATCCTATCATCTTTTATTTTAGGGCAAGATTTATTGTGCTAGAAAAAATCGCATTCTATTATTATCTTGTTCTAGATTCGTTTATTTTAGAAGAAGAAAGTAGCTCTCATGTTCAAATTACCACTTTGATCATGATGCTTTACTTACCTTGGCTAGTGGCTACAGGGAGCAGCACTCTCCTGTCTCCTGCCGGCTGGCGGCTGCTGGCCATAGCCAAGCCCAAGCTCTGCCTCCCAGTGTCGCTCTTGCGCGCGCTGCCGCCCCACCACAACACCATCGGCGCCTCTGATTGATGCGAGCGAAAGCCGCCAAAAAGCAAGCGGCCTTGATCGCTAGCTTCCCCTTAGCTTTTCCTGTCAAAAACGCCCCCGCGCGCGCACGCACGCTCCATTTCCCACTCATATCACACCCAAAACCCAACTTGCAAAATGCCAGTAACAATGCAACATTTGGTCCAGCAAAAAATGACAGATAGACACAGCAGCCAAAGAACAGCTGTTACCAGAACCTTCCAGCTTAGCAAGTACAGTAACAAGCCTCTGATAAGTTTCACAGGTGATCACAACAACAGAAAGCTTCCAATGTAGAACAGCATCCAGAAAATGACAGCACATTAAGAAGATAGCAATGTTGGCCCGCAGATAAGTTTATTGTACACAGATATGACAGAGCAGGACTATGGTAGCTTAATGCCAGCAGTAAAGCAAAAAAAAAAAGTACAGAGAAGTTGGGACTGATGACAACAATGTCGAGCTCAACAGGACTACAGGAGAACTGAAAAGAGGCTGATCACCTATCATCATGCTATTCATGTTGCAAGAATCATACAAGCAAGCTTAACTTCATGGCCAATGGAGCCACTTTACAAACGAGTACATGGAAAAGATGCTGCTCAAAATAATTAGGTGGCACATATAAATCTTGAACAAAATCTACAAGCAAAAAAGCTGCATCCTAGAAAAAAGGGAAAAAGAAGAACGAAGAAATATACCAGCCGCACCACAAGATTGCCCCTTTATGCCAAGTGGAGTCATTTTTGGGATACAAAAGCTCCAAGCAAAAGCTCCTTGACATCTCTTCTTATGTCCTCACAATTACATTGCCGTCGCCGCCATCCTCCTGTATGTATGTAGTTGCAACAGGCATAATTGAAACCCTCTAAATACTATCTCTCTGAATCCTCGGGAATTGATGATAGCCTCTGTTGCTCAAGAAATGATGAATCCAGAAATTTTGCAACAAATGCCCACAACCTGTATACATCCTCAAAGTTTGTGAGGAACCCAAGAGAAGCTGTAACCACTTCAATCCCAATTATATCATTCTTGCTACTTTTCTTCTCACGTCGGCCGTTTGACGTAGGCCGACACAAGGAAGAACTGAGCCCCACATCAACCACCCCTTGTTTTTGGTTGTCCATGATGCGAATATGACTAAGAAAGCCAATGCCCAAAGAGAGTCCTTCTTTCTCTGCCAATTTTTGTACAGTTTCAGGATTGATCAGTGAAGTTCCAGTACTGCAGTCCTTTATATTGAATGCAACCGCTGCTCCCCGTTCATATTTGATCTTTGGACCGTAGATGTAAACAAGAGGCACCCCTTCACCATCTCCGGAATCAGGCAAGCGAAGTTGCAGTAGTGAGGTCACCAACCAGTTGATAAGGTACCGCAGTCTTAACGTAGTCTTACTGAGACCTAGCTGGTTCACATGATCAAGATGCTTGCAAATAATTTCAGGTTCTCGCCTGCCATCCTGAATATCATCATAGTCACTGTATTCTTCATCATCATCCTCATCTCCCATTGCATATCCAGATGTTTCTGCAGTTTCCGAATTGCGACACAGCCTGCTATCCTCCATGCTGAATGATACCTTGCGGCCCATACTTGACACTCGCTCTGCTTCTTCCACTCCAACAAACCTACCACCATTGAATCTGCTATTATGTGCTTCTCTCCTTCCCAGTAGACGGAAGTCCCCTTCATTTTCCCTTCTGATGGCACTATCTTTGGCTTCTGAACAAATCTCCGAAGTGGAGCCATTCCCACGGGCTGTGCAACCCCCAAAAACAGAGGTTGAGCTACCTTCTGCAGGGCCATTAGCACAAGAGAACTTTACAAACCTTTTGTTTTGTTTACCATCTTGATCTTCTTCAATCTCACTGACCTTGATAGGAACAACATTCTTGATACCATTTTGTGAACAATCTTCCTCAGTAAAATCCTTCCCATGTTCTAGCTCTTGTGATACTGATCTCACAGCAGCATCAAAGGACACAACATGGTTGTCAGGAATAGGGCTCCTTCTCAGTTTGGACAGAACCTTTGGCGATGTCTTCTTCACATTCTTCCTACCAGAAAACCAAGACGCTGGCAGAGGAGATCCTAATTTCCCCTTGCTTGACTGTTCTGAATGGTCTGAACCA